TCCCACTTGCTTCATTGTCTCGGTACTTTTCTTCAACTCTGGTAGTCTTTGTGAAGCTAACTCGTTTTTGTTTGCTCATAACGCAGTTCTCACAAGGACTCATATCAACAGATTTCAGGCCTTCCAAAACTCCTTTTGAAGCCAACATCTTCATTCCTTTTAACGCTAATATGTCCAAGTCTATTGTGCCATATACTTGAATTTGAAGCACTCTCAGCAACAGCAGCTCTGTTCATACACCCTGCAGTGGTGTATAAAGTTCCAGATTTTGTGCCACGTGCTACCACCATAGCACCCTTCACAATCTTCCACGAACTCTTACCAAACTTTGTTGCATAACCTGTACTATCCAACTGACCAATAGAGATCAGGTTCTTCTCGAGACTAAGAATATGTCTAACATCCTTTAATGTCCACTGATTTCCTGTCAGAGTTTTTATGCAGACATCCCCTTTTTCTTCGATCTTCAAATCTTTGTTGTTGGCAAGATACATCTTCTCGAAACTTCCAGACTTGAAATTTCGAAACAACTCTTTATTTGGAGACGAATAAAAAGATGCACCCGAATCCAAAATCCAGGATTCAACCGGACTGTCCACGTTGAGGATTAGAGCATCCCCAATGTCTTCTGTTGAATGTATCGAATCATCGTCATTCTCTGATTTGTGATTCTGCTTCCTCTTTGTATAATCTGCCTAAAGTGATCTTTTTCTCCACAACTCCAACACTTTACATTTGGTTTGTTTGGAGATTTTTCTCGGTTCCTTGATTTTGATAGCCCATTGTTTGGGCCCTTTGATTTACTTCTTCCTCGTTGGTCAACACTGAGAGCACTACCAGATTAATTTCCAATTTCTCGTTTACGAATACTTTCGCTGAGAACTACATCTTGAATTTCATCAAACTTCAGTTTATCAGATCCTCGAGAACTGCTGATTGCGGCAACAACAGTATCCCACGACTCGGGTAAAGATGACATCAAAATCAATGCTTTAATTTCATCCTCGAAATTAATTTCCACCGAACTCAGTTGACTTATGATCATATTGAATTCATTTATATGGTCCACAACAGATCCACCTTCAAAAATCTATTGATTGAACAATCTCCGCACCAAATACACCTTGTTCATAACCAACGGTTTTTCGTACATATTCGACAACGCCTTCAACAGATCTGACGTTGTCTTCTCCTTGATGATGTTGAACACCACGTTTCTGGATAGCATCAACCGGATCAACCCTAAGACTCGTCGATCCTTGAGCTTCCACTGCTCCGTGGTCATGGTATCGGGCTTCACCCTCAACAGGGATTCGTGAAGATCTTTCTGGTATAGATAATCTTCAATTTGCATCTTTCAGAAACCGAAATTGGATCCATCGAACTTCTCAATTCTAATCTTTGAACTTCCATCTTCACAGATCGTGGTGACTTCCGCCTCGCTCTAATACCAGTTGTTAGGATCGATACCAGTTATTAGCTCTGATACCAATTGTTAGGTTCGTTTAACAACGCACACACTCTCAAGATGAACACAAAGAACAGGAGAGAGAAAATACAAGGAGGTATTGTACAACAATAGAGAAGGGAGAAAATACATTTTGAGGGGTATATATATGGTTTTAATTTACTAAATATAGCTTCCAAAGATTTAAACCTACTAGATCTAACCAATATATCTGTATCAAATCTTTACCAAATCTCTACCATATATATCTCTATCCTATCTTTAGTAAATATCTTCCAAATATCTAGGCATCAGTCTCCATATCCCAACAGTAAACCTAAGTTGTACTCTTTTGCACTGTAGGACAAGTTATGTCCATTGATATAACCATTACAAGCAAGTCGATCCTTCACGAGTTGTCATAATTACAGCTGGGTCAAAAGTCCGTTTTACCCCTGTAATTACATCTTTCACCTTAAGTACCACTGATTTTCTAATGAACAATTTGTTTATGATCCAATCATAAACCAAGTTCCTCTCGGGCCAATGAGAGGGTGAGGCCCCATTGTTCAAGTCCTGAAATCAGTACTTAAGAGAACAACTCATCTACCTTCCTTTCAGGAGTGAATTCCATCTCATCATATTATGTTCCCAACTTCCTTTGTTAAGCCCCCAAAATGGTAGGCATATTGAATCGACTAAAAGAGCCATTCTCACCCATGTAAATTAAAGGACAAGCCCTCATAGGCAGAAGTTCATAACTCACTCAGGATTAAGATCGAGTCGCATATGATCATCATGTGAAATATTAATCTTCACAATTAATGGATTTGTAAAGAGAGATTAAATATTTCTTGGTCTAGTCTCATACAAACTCATTGTATAGGATACCCCCACTTACATGTCCCCACATAAATGATTTAGATCAAATCATTTATAACGATTACAAAGTGGGTCGTATCAATAGTATTACCAGGATAAGACACCCAACCTTATCCATATACTATAGACTCTTTAGGTTATTACTTGAACACGATCCTCTTGTATGTCAACCACATACCGTTCAAGATTACATTAATAATCTTGGATTTTCATACAATGGATAACAATTAAATTACAAATAAAATAATAAAAAATTATTGTTAAAAAACTAAATAATTAATTATTAGGCTTTAGAGCATAAATCCCAACAAGAGGTGTGTTGAGTAACTCATAAGCCCATGACAGTCCCCTGGGGGGCACGACCCAACCCATTCTCGTGCAGCTAACGGGTTGTACGACGTGGGGACACATTTCCTATGCGAAATGGTTAGGAGCAGTAAGAACTGGTCAGGAACCTCTAGTTCCCCCCACGAAGCTATAGAGGCCATTCAGACAAGTAGCAGCCTAAGAACACTCAAGGTACTTCTTCGCCGTGGTAATCTGTTAAGTTCCTAGGGGAAAGTTGTATCTAGACTGAGTGACTTGTCGCTCCTAACTACAAATCCCTAGGCTTATCATAGTAATGGGTCATGGAAAATAACAAAGTGTGCATGCAGTCGTCAACTAACATCATCATACATAATTCATGCAAACTATACACGCATGCATCACGGAACGATGACCTCCGTCAAGCACCCAGAATGCGGAGTTTGCGATCAGGGGGCAACGTCATCCCTCAGGCACCTGGAACACAGAGTTCACAATTTCACATGAATTAAACATATGCATATGTATAGCGGAAGCTTAAAGCATACAAGCAACACCCAGATAATTCACCAAATACGCTCATAACAAATGATCTACTTAGTCTCATTCATGAAAAGCTGATCTAAGACAAATGTACTAGCATGCATGCAATCCAAGCGAATCCTACAAGTATTTCTTCCTAAATACCGGGTGGTGACTTACCTGGTTGACGTGTGCCCTTTCGCTAGCGTTTCTATGCCCGTAAGTTGTTCAAAAATATTGATTTTCCTCGATTAGGTCCCTATTCGCATAAAAACATTATTAGAATTGGAATGGGGACAAAAATCGGGCAAACAAAAGTCAAACGTGCCGAAAACTAACTCTCACGCGCTTCCACGCGCCGCCACACGTCCTCCCTTGCTGCCACACGCCGGGAGAAGGTTTGCTCGCGGGTTTCACGCGTGAGTACCATGTGCATGCTTTCTGCGTAATCACGGTCTGGTTCGTGTCGGTCCGCTCGACGAGTTAGTGGGTTGGTTCGCTCGTGTGGGCCGCAGTTGGTTTGGGTTTGAAGGCAACACATGTCGTCGTCTCGCTTGAGCTGAGTGGCTCCAGCCGATGCTTGATGCGTGGCTCCGACCGACGCTCGCCACGTGTCCCTTGCCTGCCCAGCCACGTCTTGCCGCCCGCCATCAACACGTGGCTGCCAGAATTTCTTCTTTCTCCGTTCTAGAACGATTCACAGGCTTCCGCCTTTGGATCGAGGTTTCAGCCAAGTTCTTCATCGGTCCTGTGGAGAATTGTTCCTAGATGAATATATCAAGATTCTAGATCTCGATTTCTTGATAAAAAATGGGACTCCGAACGCCAACATCTTCTTCTTCCTTCCAAGAAGTCCTTGCACCTAGGTCGTGGCTAGAGATGACTTCCATGGTGGTCCGATGAGATTTCGGTGGCGGTTTTCTTGCTCTCACTCCAAAACTTACCTATTTACCCCTCTTTTGATTTTAACCCTATTATTTTTTTATTTATTATATATTTAAATATTCGGGTGCTACACATTCCTTGGCTCGTTAGTCCTTGCTTCCATGATGTTGTAATACCTTATCTACTTGCAAAAACGTGAGATTTTTCGATGTTATCATTTCTCTTAAACTCATCCTTGCCGGCACTGTTATTACACATTTTGAAATCATACTAAACTCGTTGAGCTCGCCCTCATCTTTCCAGAATAATGGTTGTGTTAATCCTCTGCGTGTTTGCTCATCTTTCGTTTACTAGATCGAGGGTCTCTGTTTCGCCGGCGTTTATGCCCGACGAGACAAAACCGTTCGTCTTCCACCATTTTCTCTCGTCATTTCGTGTTCCCTTTCCTTACAAGTGAAGTTTGAGGGTTTTTTGAAATGTAGGACTTCAAGTATGATCATGGGTTCGTTGGAGGTGCGGGTTCTCCAGCCCTTCGCCGGAAAACCCGAATTTTTCGACGACGACATAATTTATTTTTATTTTTATTTTTTTGAATCCTTACACAACATGTCTGCAGAGACAAACCAAATCCTCATTAATTTTAATTTTTTTATTAGAAGGAGCTGGTATATATTTTTGTGTCTTAATTACTAAGTTAAGAAGGGCAAAAATTAATGATAAAACATTATTAAATAATTCCAAAAAGAAAAGAAAAAAAAACGTTTCAATTCAATATTTTAGCAAGTCAAGAAAGTTGACTACTTTTTACCTAAAGGAAGTCCTGGCGGAGGAAGGGCAATATGGTAATTCCAGACCCTCAAAAAGCCGTAAGAACGCAAGAGAGATGGCGGTAAGGAATTTTGTTGTGAACGAATATCTTTACAACCGAGTCGTGATGTGAACTCAATTTGATGAGTCGAATTCGATGCTTTTTTCCCTCGTCCACTTTCAAGTCTTCGTGTTAGCAATTTTTATAATTTCCATGTTACTTGCTCCCGAAGCTTCTGATTCGCTTTATTAAGGCCATTTCTTTGATTTTGATCTCATTCTTCATTGTTCATCGCTGTTAATCACGCACAATCTAGGATTTTCCAACACTTATGGCTTCTGATGCTGTGCACGATCTCAGTTCCGTCTTCTCCTCTGAGGGGAGGGACTTTCTCATCCGTAATAATGGCGATCAGGTATGTATGTATCTTTGTTCAATTTGTATATTCAGACGCTAACTCTGTTCGTGCAACTGTAACTTCATAATTTTAATTTCGTCTCAATCTGTTGTTTTCGTGTTGTGTTGCTGGATATTTAACTAGCCGTAGAGAAATCTGAAATGGCGTTTTCTGTTTTTTCACGCTTTTCGGTGAAATTTTGGGAATCTGTTGAAGGAAATTAATGAAATCCTCTTATCGGCCATTGATTTGGGGTTTTGAACAGGTGAAGATCAGTTCCTTAATTGGAAAGATTGTCGGATTGTATTTCTCGGCGTCATGGTGCCCTCCCTGTCACCGCTTCACTCCGATATTTGCGGGGGTTTATGAGGAATTAGCTTCTAAGGGTGATTTTGAAGTTGTCTTTGTTTCTGCTGATAGCGATGACGAATCTTTCGAGGATTACTTCTCTAAAATGCCATGGTTGTCCATTCCATTTTCTGATTCGGCTACCAAAGAACGTTTGAATGAACTTTTTGAAGTGAGGGGAATTCCCCATCTTATTGTTCTCGACGCCAACGGGAAGGTTTCGACTGATGATGGAGTGAGATTAGTCAGTGAATATGGGGCTAATGCTTATCCTTTTACTTCGGAACAGATCCAACTTCTGAAGGATAGAGAGGAGGAAGCTAAAAGGAACCAAACCATTAGTTCCATTTTGGTTTCGAACCAGCGTAATTATGTGATCTCGAATAATGGAAATCAGGTATAGTCGTCATTCCATTTCTTATAATCCTGAACTTTTCATTGGAATTGTGAGGTCTCACATAGGCTGGAGAGGGAAACGAAGCATGTAAGGGTGTGGAAACTTCTCCCTAATAGACGCGTTTTAAAAACCTTGAGGGGAAGCTCGAAAAGGAAAGTCTAAAGAGGACAACATCTGCTACGGTGGACTTGGATTCTTACAAATGGTATCAGAGCAAGACACCGGATAGTGTGCTAGCGAGGACGCTGGCCCCCAAGGGAGGTGGATTGTGAGATGTCATATTGGCTGGAGAGGAGAACAAAGCATGCCTTATAAGGATGTGGAAATCTCTCCCTAATAGATGCATTTTAAAAATCTTGAGGGAAAACTCGAAAGAGAAAGTCTAAAGAAGACAATATCTGCTAGCGGTGAACTTGGGCTGTTACATGAATGACGTGATAACACAATGTTTGTTTGTTTGTGCTGCAGATTCCTGTCTCTGAGCTAGAAGGGAAGGTGATTGGGCTCTACTTCTCAGTGTATGGCCATGAAACTTGTGATGATTTTACACCTCTTTTGGTTGATGCTTACAAGAAACTGAAAGAGGGGAAACAGAACTTTGAGATTGTGTCGATCTCTTTAGACGATGAGGATGATGACTTCAATGAAGCATTCAAAACCATGCCATGGTTGGCATTGCCGTTCAAGGATGAGAAATGTCAAAAACTCATTCGATATTTTGAGCTTAGTGATATTCCTACTCTTGTCATAATTGGGCAGGACGGCAAGACTTTGCACCCGAATGCAGCGGAACTCATCGAAGAGCATGGTACTGATGCCTACCCTTTCAATCCCGAAAAACTCGAGAAACTTGCTGAGATTCAGAAGGCAAAGCTCGAGTCACAGACTCTGGAGTCTCTTTTAGTTCGTGGAGAAAATGATTTTGTTATTGGAAAAAATGGTGCAAAGGTAAAGTTTCTTGTTGCTACTTCTCAGCATAATCTAATGAGTTAAGCCACCATGTGCTGCGTTATACTCTTGAGCTGTTTCTGTATGTTTATGTTTGTGTTTGATTGCCTTTCGTTTGACCAGATTCCAGTATCTGAACTTGTTGGCAAGAACATTTTGCTCTACTTCTCAGCACACTGGTGCCCTCCATGCCGTGCATTCTTGCCAAAGCTTATCGAGGCATACAACGAAATTAAGCAAAAGGACAAAGAGTTCGAAGTCGTTTTCATTTCAAGTGATAGCGATCAAGATTCATTTGAGGAATTCTTTTCAGGGATGCCTTGGTTAGCTCTGCCATTTGGGGATGAAAGGAAGAAGTTCCTAAATCGTAGGTTCAAAATAGAAGGCATTCCTGCACTCGTAGCCCTTGATCAAAGTGGTCGTACTGTCTCAACAGATGCTCGGAATCTCATATCATCTCATGGCGCAGATGCCTATCCGTTCACAAAGGAACGTCAGGAGGAATTAGAGAAGCAGCTGGAAGAAGAGGCAAAGGGGTGGCCTGAGAAACTGAAGCATGAACTACATGAAGAACACGAACTGGTTCGAACACATCGAGCTGCGTATAATTGTGATGCCTGTGATGAATTGGGATACAGTTGGTCGTTTTACTGTGAGGAATGTGACTTTGATATGCACCCAAAATGTGGTTTGAAAAAGAACGAGGGAGCTGAGGAGCAAAAGGAAGAGTGGGTATGCAAGGGAGACGTGTGCCGTAGAGCCTAAGAAAACATATTCAGAACTGCAAAGAATATGAAAGCTTGTGATCATGGTATGTCGGTTGCCTGTTGCCTTCTATGATGGTCTGGTGTGTGCTATGTCCTGCAGCTATGTTGTTTCAAATCATCTAGTCTGTGATGTGATTTCTAGTCTAAATAAATTAAAAGAAGTTCGTAGTTTCAAGCATTTTATGCCTGCCTTTTTTTGGGCATTGTAATTTGATAGCCTTAGTTATTTCTCCCTGCTATCTCCCCCTCTTTAATAAATAGAATTCAACTATATCGACCTCTCTAGTCTCATCTATACGATTTCTCTCTTTATACACGTAAGATTTCTTTATCTTATTCACATACTCACCTTGGCAGAGAATGACCAGAAACGTCTACCTCCATACCCTTGTATCCAACTCCTGGTTGCTTGCCTCTAATTTTTGGCACAGTTTCACTCTTGGGGACAATGATTGTGCGGGACTTATTCGAATCCAATGAACAAATCAGTCGTGTGAAATTCAGACTTCGCGGATAATATCGACATATGATTGACACCCTTGTGTCACATTTGAGAAAACTATTTTAGAAAACGTGAGAAAAACGTTGAAAATAATTTTAAAGAAATCAATGTTATAAGCTAAAAGCGAGTAAATAACAACAATAGCTTTGATAGTATATAACCCGAATAGGAAGAATTGACAACTAGTTAAATTCTCCAATAGTACATCTTGGGGCATTTTAGCTTTGGCGGGCGTAGACATAATTTTGGTGACTGATCATACAGACACGACAAGAAATAGTAAGAACATATCTAACATGAAAGCAAGTAAAATGGGTTTAGAATGAGCATGCGGCCATAAACAATATGTCATGGACAAACATGATGGGGACATTCAACATGCGGCCACATGCAACACGCCTTGGTCATGACATCCTCTCCCACTCAATTGGTTGAGGTCTTTGTTAGTGCTTCCAAGTGATCTTAGCATTGATGTAGGGTGAGGCTAACTAGTTGGAGTCTCTTCCAAGCAGGGCAATTGTTCTTCCTCAGCCTTTTAATGAAATTACATAAAATCTTCCCTAACCTTCTACATTTGTCCCTCTGCCTTTGAGTTGTCTTGTCTCTTGTCACCGCCAGCCTTTTATTTATATATTCATGATCTTTAATATTAAAATTTAAAAATATATTTTTTTTTTGTTTAATTCTTAAAGATTTATTTTGTGAAAAAAATTTAAAAAATTGTAAACAAAAGTTAAACCCATTGGGTGGCTTCAAATGCGTTTCTACTTGGTCAAAGTGGTTGAAATAAAAGTTTAGGAATTTAAAAAAGTAATTTAAAAAACAAATAATAATAATAATAGTAAAAAACGAAAAAGATAAGCAAAGAGAGAGAAAGAAAGAATAATTAAAAAAAAAAAGAATTATTACTGTAACTAATATTAAAATTTAAATAAAAAAGATTGAAATTAGTCAAAACCATGGTTAGGTTTAAGATACACTAAACCCAACCTATCAAATAAACAAATCCTTAATTAAACAAAAAAATTTGGTCTCAAATAAATTACAAAAAGACATATTCGAATAGAGACAAGAACTCTGTTCTATTTTTATTATTTGTTTCAAACTATATTGTTTGTTTAATTATTTTATATAAAATAATAAAAAGAATATTTAAGAAAAAGAAAAAGAAAAAGAAAAAGAAAAATGGTCAGCACTTCAAACTTCAATCGTCAGTCGTCTGATAGAGCGGAACCGTGGAAAAAGTTTCTGAAAATCAATGGAAAGTCCAGATTTCGTAACATTTTTCATCAACTTCGAATGCTTCGCTTCCCTGTAATTCTTCTCCGGCAGCCGGATCAAGTTGTGAATGGCTTCCTCAATCGCAGAGAAATCAGCTGCTTCTTCTTCTTCTTCTTCTTCTTCTCCTAGATGGTCGTATGACGTTTTTCTGAGCTTCAGAGGCGAGGACACTCGCAAGACCATTACCAACCATCTTTATGAAGCTCTCAGGCGACAAGGCATTGTGGTTTTCAGAGATGACGATGAGCTCGAGAGAGGGAAGGCCATTGCCGACGTGCTGATCAAAGCGATTGAGGAGTCGCGCTCCACCATTGTTATTCTATCTCAACGCTATGCGGATTCCAAGTGGTGCTTGAGGGAATTGGCTAAGATCGTCCACTGCAAGAACACATTAGGTCAAACGGTTCTCGTGGTTTTCCACAAAATTAATTCCTTCGATGTCATCAGTCCTACTGGAATTTATGAAAATTTCTTTATTGACCACGAGAATAACATCAAGGAGAATTTCGAAGAGGTTCAGAGCTGGAGGTATGCCATGAGAGAAGTTGGAGGGCTCTTTGGATGGCATGTAAATGACGAGTATGATTCCTTGCTCCTTCTCTCTTGTACATGAGTATCAAAGTTCTCGTGTCCCTTGGAAATTGAATTTAGAACTTGAAATTGAATTTAGGTAGTTGTATTATGAACAGGACCGAAACAGAGAAAGTCCAAGAAATTGTTAAGCATGTTTTCAATCATCTGCGTCCTGATTTACTTAGCAATGATGAAAATTTGGTTGGCATGAACTTGAGATTAAGCAGAATAAATATGCTTTTGGGCATGGGGCTGGATGATGTGCGCTTTATTGGGATATGGGGGATGGGTGGAATAGGCAAAACAACTATTGCCAGAGCTCTTTACAAAATTGTTGCCCGTGAATTTCATGGAAGTTGCATTCTGCGGAATGTTAGGCAAGCTTTAAAGAATGTTGGAGGCTTGGTATCCTTGCAGGAGAAACTTCTTTCCATGACTCTATTGAAAGGAAAAGTTCGCATTAAAGACGGTGATGGAGCTGCAATGATAAAGGAAAACCTACGAAATCAAAAAGTTTTTGTTGTTCTTGACGATGTTGATCATGTGAGCCAGGTGAAAGAACTGATAGGAGGAGAAGAATGTCTTGGTTTTGGAAGTAGAGTCATTATTACAACTAGAGATGAAGGTTTGCTTGTTTCTCTTGGAGTTGATAGGCGATACAATGTTGAGAGTTTTAATGATGAAGAGGCTCTTCAGCTCTTCTGTCATGAAGCATTTGGGGTCAAGTCTTTTAAGAAAGGTTATTTGGATCTTTGTATGCAGTTTATAAAACATGCTGAGGGCCTCCCATCAGAACTTAAGGTTCTTGGGTCTTCCTTGCACGGTAGATTGGTTCGGTCGTGGGAAGATGCTGTAAAAAATTTAAATGTTTGTTTAAACAAGGAAGTCTATGAAAACTTGAAAATGAGTTATGATGCACTTGAAATGCAAGAGAGGAGAATCTTTTTGGATATTGCTTGTTTTCTTACAGGAAGGAGCAAAGACCAAGTCATTGACACGTTCAAGAGTTTTGGAATTGATGCTGCTGATGGACTAAAAATTTTGCAGGAGAAATCCCTCATAACCATGCACGGTAACAAAATACAGGTGCATAATTTACTCAAAAAATTAGGTCAAGAAATTTTTCTTGAGGAGTCGTCAGGAAAATGTTCTAGGCTGTGGCGTCGAAAGGATGTCAACCATGCTTTGAGACATAGTCAGGTAAAGCTTCAATAAAGAATGTAAGCAATGTTACTCTTAGTTCAGAAACAAGCACTTTTTGAACTTTGAATTCACCTCCTTGCATATTCTTAGGGAGTAGAAGACATTGAATCAATAGTCTTAGACTTGGACGAGCATGGAGAGTCACACTTAAATGCCAAGTTCTTTTCGTCAATGACCGGCCTGAAAGTGTTGCTTGTTCATAATGTGTTCCTTTCTGGAGATCTTGAGTATCTCTCAGATAAGTTGAGACTTCTTAGTTGGCATGGATATCCTTTAAGACATTTACCGTCACGTTTCCAGCCGAGTGAACTATTGGAACTCAGTTTACCGAATAGCTGCCTTGAAAATCTTTGGAAGGGAGAAAAGGTACGTCACTTTTGTCAATAGCATTGTTTAATTTTCTTTAACGGTTGAATTGATAATATCATGACATTCTTGTAGCCATGTCCTTTTTTTAACAGAGGTTAGATAAATTGAAGATAATAAACCTTAGTAATTCTGAGTTCTTGATCAAGACCCCTAATTTGTCAATGGTGCCAAATCTTGAGAGATTGGTCTTGAATGGTTGTATAAGACTGCAGGAGCTTCATCAATCTGTCGGTGCTCTGAAACATCTCATCTTATTGGATCTTAAGGATTGCAAATCTCTCAAAAGAATCCCTTTTAATATTTGTTTCGAATCACTAAAGATTCTTGTTCTTTCTGGTTGTTCAAGACTTGAAAATTTTCCAGAGATTGTGGAAAACATGAAACTTATGACAGAGCTTCATTTAGATGACACTGCTATTCGAGAATTGCATCAGTCGATTGGAAAACTCACTGGCCTCGAATTGTTGGATCTTAGAAACTGCAATAATCTTCTTACACTCCCAGACTCGATTGGTTGCATGACATCGCTTAAACATCTTGCATTGGGTGGCTGCTCAAAGCTTGATCAAATTCCATACAGCTTGGGAAACATTTCTTGTTTAAAGAAGCTTGATGTGAGTGGTACTTCTATTAGTCATGTCCCATTGTCTCTACGACTTCTGGCGAACCTCGAAGTATTCAACTGCGAAGGCCTGTCCCGAAAGTTCTGCTATTCGTTCTTCCCATTTTGGGATACGCCAAGGAATTATAATTCACATTCATTTGGTTTGAAGTTGATGACTTGCCTATCGAATTTTCATTCTGTAAAAGTTCTGATTTTTAGTGATTGCAAGCTGGTAGATGGAGACCTACCCAACAACCTCAGCTGTCTGTCTTCATTGCAGTTTCTGGATCTAAGCAGGAACTTTTTCGCCAACCTGCCTAATAGTTTGTGTCAGCTTATCAATCTCAGATGCCTTGTCTTGGACAACTGCAGTAGGCTCCAGTCATTACCGAAGCTCCCGCTCGGTTTACGTTATGTACTTGCTAGGAATTGTGTGTCACTGAAAGAACACTATAACCAAGAAGATCACAGGCCTATAAGTGAAACAGAAGTAATGATTCTTAGTTACCCCACATCAGCTGAACACCGGAACTCCAAAATGGCTAACTTAATGCAGTCAAAAATATACACAGCTTGGGAGAATGGGCGTTGAAGATAGTATGAGGTACTTTTCCTTTTTCCTTCTCACGTGTTAATTTCCTTTAAGATACGCTCACCACACCAAATTAGAGAAAAGATAGCTCTTGATGATAACATTTAATACAAAAAGATATTAAAACAAAAGAGAAGCGGAAAAAATCAGTGCCTAAAATATTCCCTCCTTATGAACGTTTTGTTTTCTTCTTTTCTTTGATTCTCTGGTTAAGCAAGTTGACCCTCGCTGTTTTCTCTTGATATCTTGACTGAGATTCGTGGCTTTGGTTTATATTCTATCTGGTCCATGCATTTGCGTTGAACTATGTTGACCCTTTTGTGAAATTGATTCTTGCTGGTCCATGCTTTACCAGGTTCGAGAACTTGTACTGAGGGCTGGTATTCTATGTGCTGAACCTCAGTAGAAACTGTTGTATATAATGTTCACTCTCTTCTAAGACCTAACATGTCAAATTTAAATGAAATATCCTTTTGGGATATTGTTCTGTTGTGAACAACGATGATTGTATCTACCAAATGATGTATCCAATAAACTTCTTAAATTTGGCCTTTTCAATATTTGTTCATGTCGATGAATTAAGTTCATTAGGCCTGAAACTTAATTCTCTTCCATCTTTCATACAGGCACTAGGCTTCGTAAAGATATTAGCTACTTGGTCTTCCCTTTTCACATGCACTAGCTCTATCTCCTTTTCCTTCATATGCTCTCGAATAAAATGGAACTTCAGATCAGTATGCATGCTTCTTTAATTGTGAACAGGATTCTTCGCCAATTCGATAGCAGATGTGCTATCCAAATAAATTTGGGTAGTTTTCTATCGGTTGTTTCTTTGAAAGTCACGTACATACTGTGTCCCCCAAAAAGAACATGAATCCTAATGTACTCTTCCGATCATCCACATCGCTACACCAATCACTATCAAAATATCCATCTAGCATGAACTTTAGTGTTGAATAACCCGAAGGATTCAGTCCCCCAAATATACCGTAAGATTTTCTTCATAACTTTTAGGTGCATGTAGATGATCGGAATACCCTTTCTGCATCATACATATTTAACAAGTTGGGCAATGCCATCACATTCGTTGCATCTTGTAGGGCATACTTGACATTTGGTCGAGATTTCTTTAGTGTGGTGCTAGGCTTTTGCAATCTCATTTGAAGTACTTTTTCCAATACCTCTTGAAGTCTTTGTCTCCTCGTACAACACGTTAATTCCTGTGCTACCCACGGTTGCACTCTCTTAGTACTCTTTCCAGTACCCATAGTTAGTGCAACGAAAAGATGTTGCATGCATGAAGTGGTTAAGCAGCCTGTCAGCAAATTATATGGCGCATACACACCTAACATGCAAAAGGAATGTCATTCAAACAGTGGCGGCTTCGTAGTGGCTTTCAAGTGGTTGAAATCTTATATAAAGAGAGGAGTTTGCTTCGATATTAAGGGGACTTGCGGAACATAATATTGGAGAGCGTTTAGTTTGAATAAGAACGCATTTCTAACTCCAATCCTAATGACCACAAAGTTGGAAAATTAGAGCCAATGCTCGAAAAACTTACTTTGAAAAGTCTCATTGGTTTCCTATTTTTGTGATCAATCTTCCAATTAATGACTTCATTTTTTCTATTGAAGTTTTATGCACAAATTTAGTTCAGCTAGACCTACGTGAACTCAAACTAGAAACGAGATGAAGAAACAGTGTATTTAACACCAGTATAGTACTCAATCATACACACCGTGTGACGCGTAAATCAATTAGGATTTTTGTGAAAGGTGTGATATGAACTAGGATTTAGTGAGCATATCTTGTTGTGATGTCCCATATTGATTGGGGAGGAGAACAAAACACTCTTGTGAGAATGTGGAAACCTTCCTCTAGCAGATGCGTTTTAAAGCCTTGAGGGGAAACTCAAAGGGCTGCCCAAAGAAGACAATATCTGCCAGGGGTGGATCTGGGCCGTTACACTTGTAGGCGCATTCTTCCATGATATATAGGATAGAAATACGGTTTCAAGTGTGCACTTTCGAGGATAGACTTGACTTAGGCTAGCATGGTTAGCACGACTCAACTCGACTTGCCTAACCCAGTTTGACAAACTTGGCTCAATTAGCTCAACTCGATTGACTTGTTTTGATGTTGACGTCTTACTGATAACAAGAAAACGTGTATTGATTCTTAATCTCTTTAATTTTTCAAAAGGACTTTTCAGGATCTCTTATTTCTAGTTTTTCCAAACAACCGAGAAAATTCACAAGTTCATTTACTTTTTGTGTATTATTCAGAAATTATGTGTGGCATTAGTTTTTGTTTCTTAGAAGATTCATTTGGGTCTGAAGCTTTGAAATTTCAGAACTTCCCCATCAAACCATTCAATGTTCACACGGCTCTCCCATCCCCATCAGTAATCCATATAAGTCTGGCTTCCAATTGCGACCAATTCAAAGCTCCCTTCATTTATATTAACAACGGTGTTCATTCATATGGATAGCCATGTTTTTTTCTTTCTTTTCTGGAGCTGATTAGAGCTTTCTTCCAAAGGCACATGGCTCTTCCAAATCCTTTAGCTTTTCTTTTCATCTTCTTGCATATAGCAGCTTTCTCTGCAGAATCTTCTTTATTATACAATGGATTTAGCCAAGGAAAAAGATTGGTTCGCGATGGAGCCGCAGTTGTGATGCCATCTGGTGCATTGAGGCTCACCAACACTTCACAAAATGTCATAGGCCATGCATTCTACCCTGATGCCATTCACCTGATTAATAACACTTCTCTTTCATCTTTCTCCACAACTTTTGTGTTTGCCATTAAACCATCCAGCCCCGGCCATGGCGGCCACGTCTTTGCATTCACCTTGGCTCCATCAACCAAGTTTGAAGGTGCTGAAAGTGGGCACTTCCTTGGATTATTCAATCGTTCTAACGATGGAAGCGTATCCAACCATATATTTGCTGTTGAATTTGACACTGTTAAAGGACATGATGAGCTCAAGAACTCCAGAGGAAACGATGTTGGGATTAACATCAATGGTGTTGTATCTGTTTCCTCCCAACATGCTTCTTATTCCTATTTTAATGATACCATTTTGGACCATATCTTGATTGATTCCGGTGACCCAATTGCTGTTTGGATTGAATATGATGGTTCCAGAAAAAGTGCGAGTGTTTTTATAGGCCTTTTGACAGATCAAAAACCGGAGAAGCCACTCCTTTCCTGTCCTATTGATTTAACTCCTGTTCTAAAGGAAAAAATGTACGTTGGCTTCGCTGCGTCGACCGGAATCGAAACAAGCTCTCATTACATTCTGGGATGGAGTTTCGCCGTGAATGCACCGGCACGGCCGCTGAGGTACTCTCTCCTTCCCATAGAACCAGAACGGCAGAGCCATCCTCGTGCATCCAATCCCCAGTTTATGGTTATTGTATTAGTTTCATCGATTCTGGTCATTGTGGGAATTGTTGTCTTAGCCTTCTTGTTTAGAAAAATGAGGAAAGCTGAGAGTTTAGAGGACTGGGAAAAAGATTGCCCTCACAGATTCAGTTACAAAGACCTCTACACAGCAACAAACGGATTTAAAGACTGCCAGCAAATCGGAATCGGAGGATTCGGGTCGGTATATAAAGGCTCGTTACGTTCAACTGGAGCTGAGATTGCTGTAAAGCGAGTAAAAAGAAACTCGAGCCAAGGATTGAAGGAATTCGCAGCGGAAATCGAAAGCTTGGGAAGATTAAGACACAAGAACTTGGTTAATCTTCAAGGATGGTGCAAGAAAAACAACGATCTTCTCATAGTTTACGATTATATCTCAAATGGGAGCCTTCATTCTCTTTTGTATCATCCAATTCAAAACTTCGTTTTGAATTGGGAGCAAAGATTGAACATCCTCAAAGGCATTGCTGCAGGATTACTATATCTCCATGAAGATTGGGAGCAAGTGGTAATCCACCGAGATGTAAAGCCGAGCAATGTTCTAATAGACGACGACATGAATGCTCGATTGAGCGATTTCGGTTTGTCGAGGCAATACGACCACAACCAAGTATCGCACACGACGAAAGTTGTCGGGACAATCGGCTACATACCGCCGGAGTTGTTTCGAACGGGGAAGGCGTCGAAGAGCGCGGATGTGTATGCGTATGGAGTAGTGGTGCTGGAAGTGGCATGTGGAAGAAAGCCTCTGGGATCAGGGCAGTTTGTATTGGTGGATTGGGTGATGAAGTTGTATGAAACGGGTAATGTTGTTCATGTGGCTGATCCGAAGTTGGGTTCGGATTATAAGGTGGAGGAGATGGAGATGGTGCTCAAACTTGGGCTTCTCTGTACTCAGTGGAACCCAGAAGCTCGCCCCTGCATAAGGCAAGTCACGAGGTTCCTTAATGGAGAAGACCCACTGCCAGCACTGGAGCCGTGGGCTGTCTATCAAGCTCTGTTCGAGTCTAGTTCAAGATCCATGGCTAAGGAGGTTTCAACAATGTGGAACAGTTCTTCGTCCATGTCGGTCGGCCCCATCTCTTCTGCCTCCATAAATATAGGAAGATAGTTCGTTTCTGTCTTTATTTTAGAACCCATACTTCATGATGTTATAACCCTTTTGATTATTTTATTTGTAATTAAATATTATCGAATGTATAAAAAAAAATAGGTTCATCGATATCTATGGAAATATTATGTAATGAGTTTGTATAACACTAGATCAACAAACATTTTATCTCTTTATAAATTAATTGATTTGTAATATTAATATTTTACGGAATAATTATAGAACTTGATTTTAGTTATTATTGAATTATGAACTTTGAGTGGTTGTTCTCTTTGTTGTATGGGTGAAAATGGCTTTTATAGCCAGACTTTATGTGTCAAACATTAAGATGCTTAACCAAATAAGGAACGGTAAGTTTCGTGAACGTGAACGTGAACATGAACATTAAGAGACTTAACCAATAAGAAACGGAATTCACTCTTATGATGATAGTTTAAGTGTCAATTTTATGATTTAAATAAATTATTGGTTAGAAAATTGATTGTATTTAAGGTGTGATAGACTAGGGATAAAATAGACTTTTGACTCATCTGTAATTAAAAATAATTTGCGAAATGATCGACTTACTTGTAATAATTATACAAATATGCACCGTTGTTATAAAGTACATAAGAGTGCAACTCTAGGTTTACAGTGGAGTGACTTAAAGTTAACAAACGAAAATTGATTAATTAAAGAAATTAGAAAAAGAATATAACTTTTCAAAACTACTCTAAAATATGAACAAAAAGGCGTTGATGGTACCCCCGACGTTGAACGATATGAAAATTGGTCGAGAGCAAAAACAATTTTTGGTGTTGGTTGCCGATCACGTATCAAAACCATCATATTTAAATGTTCTTCATAGTAGATTCGAAAAAATATTGACCGTAACTCAAGTTTTTCACCGTGTTCTTCAAAGGCCCAATTAGGGCTTCCAAATTTGAGTTTCGGTTTTAAGCGCCTATCTATAGTGTTATAGGCTCTAATTCTTCTAAACTCAAGTCCTAATACTGTTTCCTATGAAGATGGTTGAAATATTAGAAAAAGAAAGTAACTTTTTAGAACTAACCTAAAGCACGAACAAAATGTCGTCGATAGTATCCTAACATTGAATGAACCGAAAATTCGCAAGAGCAACAAAAATTTGTAGTGTGTGTTGTCGATCATACGTGTCAAAACCATCAAATTTGAACATTTCTCATAGTAGTGTCGAAAACTATCTAGTTTTTCACCGCGTTCTTCAAAGGCCCAATTAAGGTTTTCAAATTTGAGTTTTGATTTTAAGCGCTAATATATACTATTATAGGCTCATTTTCTTCGATAGTATTTCGTAGGAAAATTGTTGGGATATTAGAAAGAGAAAGTAGCTTTTCCAAATCGCCCTAAAACACGAACAAAAAGTCGTCGATGGTATCCCAGACGTTAAACGAGCCGAAAATTCTCCAAACTTGAAATTCCATCATGAAGCTGTGCGGGCTATGATGGAAATCAAAACAATGAAATGAGATACAACATTGCATTTGAAGGACATGAGCCTAGAGAAGAGGCAAGGTTGAACCATAAGACTTGGTCTATGGTAGAGACAAGACAACTAGAGTCGCAAGCACATGAACATGCATGCACGAGGAGCGTGCATGACCGAACAAAGTTTAGTTTCCCCATGAGTTGTATTCAATCGACGAAAGAGAACATAACCTGAAGTCCGATGAAGCTGGAAAGCCGGATGAAAAAACTATAATGGAATTTGAGTTTTCCTTAAGACTTATCATAATTGTGTTACGATCATGACCTAGCAAGATTCGAAAGGTACGACGGTGACACTATGCATAAAACGACAATTTATTTCAAGATTAACATCACCGACTATCATAACATTGCAATTAGGAGTCGGCCAACATAAAATTGTGAACAAAGCACAATTATTTGAATTAAGCCAAAGGACAACAAGGCACAAACAAATAGAATGGGACACCACCTAAAACCAAACATTAAAAATTTAAAATAAACTTACTAAAAAAAATAGTGTGAAACCAACATTAAATGTATTTATAATCGAACACACTGGACAAAAATTAATTATAATTAAATAACGAGCTAAAAACAATTGTCCTAAAATAACTCTCAAACAAGTTTTTAAATATTACGAACAATAAAGGAAAGGGTTAAATTAAAACGTGAGGATATGTTTCAAAGTGTTGAGGATATTATTGAAAGTTTAAGTTTAAAAGTTTTTTTTTTAACCTAACAATGATTGTGCTCCGAGGTAAGTCATTGAGGACGGGGGAGAATGTCACAACCTAACTATGAAGAGAGTAGATTGTGACTCTCACGTTACAACAAGAGAAGCGGCGACCCTCAAGTGGCGCCCGTCCGGTCACATGAGAGCCCAGACGAGTGTCATGATGCCACCAAGGAGAACAGTGCATCATCTAACACACCACACACGTAAAATAATGTTTTTGTTAATTGAGCGGACACAAAATTTGACCTAAAATATAATGGGAACAGGTTTTGATTGAGAAACAAAACATAAAAGAATTGTGTTTAGTGGATGATGAATGGATCCCAGCTCCCAAGTTGTTGTCTTTTTTAAGATTGCATACATCACAAGTATCTTCCATGGGAAGCAAACCAACACACAAGGCGTAGAGGGAGAGAAAGGAGACTACGAGGGCAGCCGGAGTGGACGAGGATAAACCGTTTCGATAGATCGAGGTACTCGTGAACAAGATCGAAAACTCTGGTAAGATCTCTCTCGACCTTGACATCACGGACTATACGTATCAGTCGAGTAAAGAAATAAGGAGGGTATTCTTAAGTTGACGTAATTGACATCGATTATGTTCCATTTGTTTCTTAATGGTTTCAGGTTGCTTCTAAATCGTATTGTTGAAGTCCTTAAAGGTTTTGGAGTATGAACCAATTTAAGTACGAGAGATTAGAAAATGACTTAGAACATTGGTTCCCAACGGAGATAAGATACTTGAAATGGGATAGATTTCCCATGGAATTTCTGCCCTTGAGTTCCCAACATAATAATCTTATTGGCCTCCACATGTGCCATAGCAATTTGAAACAATTTTGGCTCGGAAACAAGGTAATCATCTTATTTAATTAGCTATTACTAGAGATGTTTATGGGACAGGTCGGTGGTGACGGGGAATACTTCTCCATCCCCATTTCCACCTCCTGTTTTAATCTTCATCCCCATGAAATTGATGAACATAACTGATCGTGGGAAACACTCGCACCCTTTATTAACACAAATCGGAACGAAATTATAAGACACTTCGTAGAATACTAACCTGTTATGTCAGTGATGTTATTCTTGTTAAATTAGGTTTCTTTATCAAATTTTCTCATTTTATTAGTTAAATGTGTTAGACGAACACGACTCTCCACAATAGTATGATATTGTCCACACGACTCCCTACAATGGTATGATATTGTCCACTTTGAGCCTAAGCTCTCATGGCTTTGCATTGGGTTTTCCCAAAATGCCTCGTACCAATAGAGAGTGTATTCTTTAATTATAAACTCATGATCATTCCCTAAATTAACTGTCGTGCGACACTTTCATCCAACAAAATGGACATTTCGAGCTACTATCGAACTATTATTATGTGATCCATTTGTGACAGCATCTGAAGAACTTGAAGTATATCAATCTAAACCACTCTAAGAACTTGACAAACACTCCAAATTTCGAAGAAATTCCAAATCTCGAGAGATTAGAGCTCGAAGGCTGCACCAGTTTGATCATCATTCATCCATCCATTTTCGCTGCAAAAAACCTTATTTTTCTGAATCTGAAAGATTGCATCAATCTCACCAATCTTCCAACCCAAATTAACATCAAATCCCTTCAAGTACTGATTCTTTCAGGCTGTTCAAAGCTCAAGAACATCCCACAATTTTCCGGCAACACAAATGCATTAGTCCAACTCTGTTTCGACCACACCTCCATAACAGAGCATGAACAGAGCACATGTGATATCATGACACGCCTGTTCCTTTGTGTTTGCAGAGCTTCAATGGCCGATGATTCTCCAATTGGGGTCCCGTTATTTGCCACTCTGTTCTCTCTGACCAAACTGAATCTCAGCTACTGCAACCTCAAATCCATTCCAGAAGGGATTGAGTGTTTGGTTTCATTAACAGAGCTGAATTTGAGTGGCAATAAATTCAGTCAGCTTCCGACAACAATCTCTCAGCTGCAAAACCTGAAAAGATTGAATTTGAATCGATGCAAGAAGCTTTTGTGCATCCCCGAGCTGCCACCGAGAATTTTAAGGATCTTGTCGAAGGATTGCGGCTCGCTTGTATCCATTCCAGAGATGTTAAAAACAGAGCAATTGTATTTCATGACAGAGTTGAATCTTATGAACTGCTATCAATTGGGTGGCAATAAAAAGCTTCAGAGATTGATCGTTTCTTGGATGCAGAGCATGTTGCTTCGAAATGGTGCATTCAATGTCATGATTCCTGGGAGTGAGATTCCTGATTGGTTCACCACAAAAATGGGGTCTTCGATTACTGTCGAATGGGATCCGACCGCGCCAAATTCTAATTTGATTCGCTTTGCTCTATGTGTCGTGTGTGGCGGCGGCGACGGCGACGGCGGGGGTGATGTTTCCGGCTCCATTATTGCTTCTGTCGCCGGAAGGAGCCCAGATGAGGGGAATTTGAAGAAGGGAGATGTTATTGTTAATGGGTTGACGATTTCTGGGATGAGGAAAATGGATCATATTTGGTTGTTTGTTTTGGCTCGAACCCAGTTGCTGAGGAGGAAGATGAAGGGATTTAGAGAGATTGAATTTCGGTTCTTGTTACAAGTTAACTATGGTGGATCTGTTTCGAAGAATATTGAATTGAAAAGGTGTGGAGTTGGGTTCATAAATATGGAGGAAGAGGAGGAAGCCATGAAGCGTTATGCCGCTTGTATTATCTTGAAGAACAAGATGAGGATGTGAAGAACCCATAATTTTGTATGTTTTTTTTTTTTTTTTCTCTCTCTCTTAATTAAACTCTATTTCAAGGACTTGTACAAATTCATGGTATGAAACATACTCGTTCACTTGTCTCCACATGAACGATCTGAATCAAATCAGTATCTAACCGGATATAATGTAATACATATCATTTTTTACATTTCTTGAATATGATCCTCTTATATGTTAAGTATATATGATTGAAAATTATATTAATGACTTTATATATGTCTCAGGATATACTCTTATACCCAATATACTCTCAGCCCATTTTCTCTAGAGAAGATCCCGAGACGTGTTATAGTGTTTGACATTTTAGGTGATCCTCAAATACTTTGTCCTAGAAAGTTTTTATATAGATCAAAACGATTGACACTAAAGCAATCTTGATCACTACCACGATGATTTATCTCCTTTAGTATAATTCCCTATACATTAAGCCTTTGCACCACTATTATCATATTATCGATAGACTAAATTATACTTCAAACACTAGTCACACAAGTTTTTTTTTTTTTTAATTATTTCTTTTAAAAATAAAAGTTTTCTAAGTTTAAATAGTATTTTTAAACAAACTTGAATGCATATTTAAATTTTAAATTCTTTGTGTCCCATCATGATTAGAAATATCGAAAAGCGGGTCAGTACATTTCAAGTCTAGGCATCATTTATAAAATTATTTTACATAACTTCTTACGTATATTAGACATCATACATATAGTGGCGTCTCTCACTATTAAAAAAAACAAAAAAACAGGATTTTAATAGAATTGTGGCATATAATTTCAATAAAAAATTTACATTTAGATAAGAAAGTTCTAAAAAAATATATTTTTTTTTTTTTAAAAAAAATGTTTAATAGGCTAATTGAATGGGTTACCTCAAATCGGACCCAAACTTGATGTAATGAGACAAGTCCAAGAGGTAGGCCATGAGATTGCGATTGAAAGTAGACCCTCAATCCGAGCCCAAGGTGTGTTGCGCCCGCTAGACTTGGACTTGGACTTGGACTTGTACAAACCTTAAACCTACACGTTTAAGCATCATGTCAAGTCAAAGCTAACCCAAAAGTCAACTTCCTTCAAAAGCCTAAGAAACTTATTCCCTAATAAATGCATCTCTTACAATTGAAGCTTCAAATCTCATTCCTTATATTTATTGTATTAAGAAAACCCAAACTTTGAATCTAACCTAATTTTTAACATTTTATCCCAACAAATGGAAACAAGGGACCAAGAACTCATTGTCTCAAGAGTTAACCTTGATTCAAATGACGCTACTTGCCCATATAAATTGACATACATGATTTCCATTAAAAAAGAAAACGTATGATTAATAAATCATAAGTTACCCACATGCTTTGCTTTACATTCCATTGTACTCTTCACAAATAGTGTGCATCTCAGCTTTCCAAGCTTCTGATCATGCCCGTGACCAATCCGAACAAGCTTCTTGAACCATACCTATGACCAATATAAGCTCGAGATTTTCTTTGTAATCATCCAACGAGTACAACCCTCCTGTTGCTGCCTTTGAAGTTGGATGGATAACAAAAAAAAACAATTCTAAATACAATTATAGAGAAGATGCCAGAAATGTAATCCTTTCGGACAGAAAACCACGGCTTACCCACTGTCTTGCCTAATGAGCTATATGCTATACTAATTACAGTTACAGGGCACCTCTCCTTCAATTCAAATTCTGTGATTGCACAAAATCAAATACAAAACAAAACGCCTTGTCCCACCACAAAACCGATCAAATTCCCTATTTGCTTGAATCTCGTCGTCCATCTTCCATATTCTCTGTTCTATGACCATCCATTTCCAAGCTCCATATTTCCATCAGTTTACCACCATTCTCCGACTTTCTTGACAATGGCATCACATATATATATATTCGGAACTAAAAATATATGCCTCTAGAAGCAAACTTAAGCACTAGGATTCAAACCTATACCACCAAAGGTTTAGAAGGCCTTTCGTATGTACTATCCATTGGGACGTGGATGCTTTTCATTACACTTTCACTTCTTGTTTGAAAAAGAAAATGTAAATCCTTTGACAGCACTTAATCGATGTACTTTTCTCTACTAGTGCTTCATACAAAAGGATTTCACTCAAAAACACTACTTGCTAACTAAAGCTATATGACTCCATCAAACTTATCCAAAAATCTCACAACGCAGCCAAAGAAAGATAATTTGTCATACACATACAAACAAACGTATTACACATCAAATAAAGATATCACAACCAACAAAACGGGAAGAAATGAGGAAATGCACAAATTCATATAATGATAAAGAATGGAAAATTAATGGGCAACTCCAGACAAGAACTTTGGGCCCAAATAAGAGAAGCCATTTAGATTCTTGAATATTGATAGAAACCAATGTTGATCCTCGGATAGAGCTTGCCACTAACCTGATCACCAAATGTTTTATCTACTATCGAATAACGTAGTGCTAACGAAATGTTTCCAAAAAGTTAAGCTACTCTAAATAGTTTTCAGATTTCATTTTATTTTTCAAATTTTATCAGAATTCAAGCATGTTCTAAACTGAAATGCTAAACAAAGAAATTATTGATAAGCAAACGTAAATCTGAAATATATAAATTCAAACAAGGATGCTATGAACTAGGTCTACAAAATGCAACAAAAGCAGTCATATCAATTCTCATTTTGGAGCTTGGCTTTTCCTTCTTCCCAGAAGAAAGTGAACTTTTCTAGATTCTCTTGTGCGTTATAGTGAGGGGGGCAGGCCAAAGCTAGATCATGCCACCTTACAATTTAACCTACCAAGTATTAGAGTACTGGCATACCCAAAGGCAGAAATGATAATAAACACAAACAAAAATGCCAAGGATAACAAGTAGTTTAGCTTCCACTTCACTGAAAAGTAAACCAGTCTGGTCGACAATCTTACCCATTGTCTTTAATTAAAATTAACCAATTCTAAAAGGGCGACATGATAAACCCACCACCATAAGTATAAACATTAGTAACATTCACACATCGGATCAAGCAAAACACTTCAAAGAAAAAATAAATATTCAATATACACAAAACAAAAGGCTATTCCTTGCAGTCACCATGAAAAATATCATTTATACTCCCATTACATTAAACTGGAGTTGAAGAAAATCTGACTATTTAATAAAATAGATTACAATACTTTAATTAGAGCATCAACTATAACAACACAGCTAAATCATACAAATACATACACCTACAAAATGACAATATATTGAACCAGTATGCCCATAGCAAATACCATGTCCTTTCTACTAAACCTTCTGCATCCAACTAAGAGATCCAACTTATACTAAGACTTAGGACACCATTAAGATTAACCAAAATGGTATGCGCTAGCTGCCTTAGTTCAAAAGTTCATAAGGAGGATAGTATACTGGATAACTCGTATCATGGCGGCGTGATTTAGGATGGTTAAAGCTATCCAAATTTGTCCCAGAATATCTCTGACTGTATTGGTTATTGTGGTGATCCGAATTTGATCCATACCCATTAGATTGGTTAACTAACCCAGGGTAAGGAGGCGCTGAATAAAAGAAATACAGATTCGTTGAACCAATGCAGGAAAGGCACGTGAAAGCATACACAACTTCTTAGCAAACTAACAAAACAAAGACAAATAAAGGAAAATCAGGAAAATCACCTTCTACATGGTTCTCTGGGTATGCAGAAAACCTGCACGAGTTTGACAAGCGATTGGAATATGAAGATATTTCATTAGAATAACCTGGAACAATCTGCGACCTTGATTTATGAGATATATTTGATGATGAGGTGATTGCACTACTACTAGGTGAAGGCTTGTCTTGCCCAGATACCTGTTTGCAAGTCAAAAATTATGCATCATTCCCATAACTTTAAAACTCACCACACAATCAAAACTGATGCAAGAAGATTGCACAGTCGTCTGATTACAAAATTGGAAATACGAGACAGCACAGTATATAAGTGTGTATAAAAAAATATCATCTATTAAAATATAAAAGAAAAGGAAACTTTATATCACTATGTTCCCCTCCATTGTTGTTTATATTGCTACTATTCTGTCCAAAATAAGACTTAAAAGATACAACTTTATAGAAAACTAATAGATATCATTTTAATATATGAAATTATATGTTCAAACTTGTTTTTGGTTTTTCAAGAATGTTTTAGTTCGTCACTTAAACTTGTGGTGATATAAACTAAACTAGATTAAGTCTATCACTGTGAGATAAACTATGACGTTTGATCCATGAATTATCTTGGTTCTTCCCATTATGATGACATAAGGTTGTTTCTAAATGCAAACTATGATTTGTAAATAACTAGAAAAAATAGGTATAATTGGGATGTGGTTCGAAAACTTTAGAAAAGTTAGGCAATATGCCACATAAGGCATATGAAGGAATACAATTTTTAGATTATTTTAAATTGTTACAAAGATAACTTCACCAATTAATATATACTTAGTACATGAAACTTTAATATAAAAACAAAACATGTATAAGTGAGGAAACAAATTTGATCAAGAAAAACCAAGATAAAAGAAAACATGAAGAATTTGCGTTGAGAAAGAAAAAATTAATAACATACTGCAAACTTTAGGGTACGATTATGTAGAGTCACGAGACCAGAGAAAAGCTTAACAGCATAGTTGGTAATCTCCTCATTTTCATATTCTGCAAAAGCATAACCCCTGGGCCTGCCGGATTCCTTGTCACGAGGAATGTGCAAGTCCACTACCCGCCCAGCTTGAATTAGAATGTCATACAGAACCCTATCACTTACCCTTTCATCCAAATTACCTAAAGAAAGCGGAGAGTAACAAAATCAGACTCAGAGGAAGATGTAGCTAGCATCTAAACCGTAAGAGGATGGCTGCATCCTTAAAATTTAATGTATGATACCGTATCAGAAGATAAGAGGGGTGAAGAAAATTTCCCCGGAAGAATACATGCGCAGAGTATCCAGTTATTAGAGAAATAAGAGGAAAATCTACATAGAAGCAGATAAAAAATGGTGGGCAAAGTGAAATCGAGATTTAACCAGTTAAGCATAAATGAAATTTAACTAAGAGATCTAAGTGAAACAAACACAACATAAGGCCAACTTCCAATCTTCTTCCCCCCACAAGCAGCAAATCAAGTATGC